ACACATCAATGAAATAATACTAAAAAATATTAAATAACCAATTGTAGGAAATTTGGCAACAAATATTTTGACGAAATATGTCACAAACCAAATTAATAACACAAGAATTATAACCACAATGTGATGTAGCATATCTGTTTAGATCAAGAACTCAAAGTCATTCAAACCCTCGAAACAACTTTATAGAACCAATGACCAATGTAGATAGATCATCGCAACCATTCAAAGATGATACAACTAACAGTGAAGCTCAGATCAATCTACCAAAGCACCTCCGATCATACCTCTTGGCTTCAAAAAAGAAAAATAATAATAATAAAATTAATTAAACTAAAAAAATTAAAATTAAACCTTAAAATTAAATAAATAAATAAATGATTTAATTAATTTGACCATAATCAGAATATTCAAATTGAATCATAATGATAATGGATACATTTAAAGCAAAAAACATACACATACAAAAACATATGAGCACATACATGAACGTGGACATACTGATACTCATACTCATACTCATACTCATACTCATACTCATACTCATACAGTACATATTAACATGAAAATGCACACGCACACACATACACATGCACACGCACATACTCATATACATGCACATGCACATACACATACACATATTCATACCAATGAACATTCACATACTAATGCACATGCACTTGAACATACATACTCTCACATACATACTCTCACATACATACTCTCACATACATACACATACACATTTACAGATATACATAGATACTCTCAAATACATACATATGCAAATATATATACACATATTCATGCATGCACTTCCACATAGATACACATGCATATACATACACTTACACATACCCAAACATGCTCATACATATACATATACCTTTGCACATGTACATGCATATAAACAACATATGCACTTTCACATAAACATACACACATCACATATATACATTCATATGCACATGCACATGTATATACATAGTCACATGCTCATTCTCATACTCACATACATACACATTCACATAGGCATGGAAATACTGATAATCATACTCCTACTAGTACACAAGAAATGATAATAATAAAGTTGTTCCGGACATGGTATGCATACTCTACTTTAAAAATTGATGAAAAGGGATATTTTTTGTAACATAAATAAACTTACTAATAAAATAAAATAATTGAAAGTTAATAATATTCTATGGATACCCCAATAATTACCCAATTCATATAGAACCAAGATACTCTTTATTTAACTACAAGTTGGGCACGGTAACGTCAATTCGTGTATGATTCAGAGACTGGTAAGAGTGGTTTTTTTTTTTTTTTTTTTTTTTTTTTTTTTAAAAGTGAAGATAATTAAAAGCAAATGCTTTAAATTAATCAGTAAAATTTTATTTAATGTTTTTTTTATAAAGTTTTTAAAGAAAATATTCTAAACTGTTGATATTTGGTAAAGATTTGATGCTGATGAAGTATGCTCTTGCTATTCTTCTTTTGAATTTTCTATATTTTCCATTGTTTGTGGTTGTTTAGCTAGTTTAGTCCATTTTGAGGTTAGATTCTTATAATTGAGTTCTTTTATTGTATTTTCTTGATCGTCATATAATTCTTTACATAACCAAATCCAAACTTGATGAAATACCAGGGCTATGGCATTTCTATAAGCGAAACATCTAGTTAAGTCGAAATCTATTGCTTTATAGTTCCATTGGAAGTGTTATTTGTGAAATCTGGTGTTGTTGTAATCCATATTTATTTCTCCATCAGATTTGCGACCTTCTGTGATTTTGTATGGGGATTTTGTATGAAAGAGTGGTTTTTGGAAATTTGTAAAAAGTGGATTATAAAAACTTTTAAATCTCCGAAAAGATATATCTTAATGAAAAAGACTCCCCGTCCGGGAATTGAACCCGGGCCTTTCGCGTGACAGGCGAAAATCCTCACCACTAGACCAACGGGGAAGAGTTACAAAATTTAAAATTTAAGGCCTTTTTTTAGATTATTTAAATATAATATCTGTTGAAATTCATTTTTAAAGTTAAATTACCCAATAAAACTAAAGATATAACAAATATTCTCTTTTCAAAGTAACAATACCCACTGGGAGATATAACTAATATTCTCCTTTCCTTCACCTCGAACCACACTTTTTTATTTTTCATATTTTTACAATTTTAGGTAAAAAAATGGTAAAAAAATGAAAATATATGACAAAAAATGATAAAATATGAATAAAAAAGTGGGTTCTAGGTGTTTTAAAAAAATCCAAAATTAATAAATTTAAATAAGATAAAATTAAATAATTAAATAAATTAAAACTAAATTAATATATATCCTGTTTACACTCACTCCATTCAATTTGAATGTTTAAGGCAAAAATAAATGGTTAACTATTTTAACAAAAAAACGGGATTTTAAAATAGCTAACCACTATATTGTATTTTTCAGAGAAATTAAATTGATGAGATATGGGAAAGAGAAGTCAAACGCATAAACAAGATACATAAGGAACTCCAACACATAGATCCTGTAAGTCAGTACCATTTTTTCAAAACGCTAGCGAAATTCAGTAACTATTTTTTCTTGATTATTTATTTTTTTAATTTCAATTTATAATCAAACAAATTAGTAACCTTTGCTCTGGCCATTCAAATTGGGTGAATAAAACAAAAGTTCTTGGCTAAAGATTAAAACAAAAAAAAACAATATGAATATAAAATAATATTAAAGTATAATATAAAATGTAATACTTCTTTTTTAAATACATATTAATATTTGATTTTTTTAATCCCTCTTTCTATAAAAAATAAAAATAAAAAATTTAAAAAATAACTTTCGATTAATTTATTTTAATCGAAGCAAGATTTTTTTTTTTTTTTTTTTTTGGTGCGCACATTAGCATCAAAGAAATACTTTTTCATTTTTTTAAAAAGCTTTTTTTATTTGATTTTTTATTTTGTTTTGTTAATTTTTTTTTTTTTTTTTTTTTTTTTTTTAAAACTTTTATAATAAAACAATTGTTTTTTTTTTATAAATAATATCAATAAATATAAATATAAATAATTTGATAACTGCAGTGATTAAAAAAAAAAAAATTTTATTTTATTTTTTTTAAAAAAAAAAAATTTTTAAAAAAATTTTATTTTTTTTTTTATTTTTTTTTAATTTAATTTTTTTTTTATTTTTTTTTTTATTTTTTTTTTTATTTTGTATTATAATAAATAAATATTTAAATTTAAAATATCAACCAATAAAAATTTTATAATATAGATAGTAATAGTAACAGTAAATAATAAACCATCACTTAAAAAGATAAACCCCACACCCACTTGCTGTAATAAAATAAATATACCAAAAAAAAATAAAAAAAATAATAAAAAAATAAAACAAAATAAAATAAATAAAATAATTTTTTTTTTAAAAAACCATAAATTTTTTCAACACACACAATTTAAAATAATAAAGTAATAGTAATAGTAATAATAATAATAATATTAAAAAGAATAATAATTGCACCAGTTCAAAATAAAATATTTTTATTTTTATTTTTATTTTTTTTTGTTTTTTTTTCAAAAATATAAATATATATATAAATATATATTTCTGTAATAATAAAAATTTTATATTGTAGATTATAAATAAATTTGATTATTATATACATACATATTTTTTGTTTGTTAAAATTATTTTTTTATATGCAATTTTTATTTTTATATATAAATATATAAATAAAAAATAATATATGAAAAATAAAATACCTCACTAAATATATATAAATAAATAATTTAAATAAATAAATAAATAAATAAAATAATAAAAAAACCACTTGTAAATATAGTAAAAATTAAATAAAATAAAAAATGATGGTCCCATCATTATCAACTTCTATATCATCACCTGCTCTTTTCAAGGTATGTAAAAAAAAAAGAAAAAGAAAGAAATATTAAATATTAAATAGGAATTATAAACTAACAAGATAACAAATATTATAAAAACAATATATAGAATAGAGAAAATGAAGAAAATGACGAAAATGGTGAAAATGATGAACAACTAGAACAATTACAAAACCAAGCAAATGATTTGGGTGATTTAAATTTTGATTACGGTAACAATGGTAATAATAATGAACTTCAAGATCTAATGTCGTTAGTTAATAATAATAGTATTGATACCAATATGGGTGAAGAGGGTGGAGCAGCCGGAGGCAATGGCAATGGAACACTAAATGATTTATTTATACCCTCGATTAATGTAGCATCATTATTAGAAGATTTAGACCAAATCTCAGATGAACAACAACAGCAACAACAGCAACAACAGCAACAACAGCAACAACAGCAACAACAACAGCAAGAGCAACAACAAGAGATTGATGAAGAAGAGGAACAAGTTTCACCACAATCACAACACCAATTACTTTCACCACCAGTACGTAAAAGTAACAACTACGATATTAAAACACAAAAAGCAGTTGGCAGCAAAAGTGGTAGTACTGGCTCATCACCAAGATCACTAAGAATCTATAGAACTTTTCCATATAGAGGCGATCACCATTTCTCATGGCTAAACAGTTTTGAAAATAATAATGGTCAAGATAGTGCTGATGATCTACTTTTACAATACCACCAAAAACAACAAAAAGAAAGAGAAGAAAAAGAAAAACCAAAACCAAGTTCAACCAATGGTATTAGACACAGTAGAAAATATAAAGGTTTACAACAATTAGATTTTTTAGCTTTTCAACAACAACAACAACAAACATCAAACCAATTAGTACCAGATCAGTTTGGTGGTGCACCCTCATCATCTGATGATAGTCAAGATGATAATGTAAATAATTCAAATACAAACAGTAATATAATAAATGGCTCGACCCAATTATCACAATTAATAGAAAGCTTGGGAGGTTGTTCATCAGTTGGCGAAAATAAAAATTTTGAATTCACTCTTGATGATTTTAATAACTCAAGTTCCGACTTAAAAGATTTGGTAGTAGATGGCATAAATTTCGAAATGAACACATCAGAAAGCAATACAGATTTGGAAAAAATAACAAATTTAGAAAACAACACCGATATAAAACTAAATGAAATAGAGGAAGAAGATGAAAATGCTGGTGACGAAGAAATTGAAATTGACGAAGATGAAGAAAACAAAAACAATATAGAAACTGAACCACCAAAATTTATAGGTCAATTAAGAGTATCATCACCAAAATTTAATGACACATTAATAAATTCAAATAGTGGAAGAGTTCAACAAAATGAAAAGAAACAATTATCAAGAACTATAACATTTGCTGATCCATCTTCAATTCAAAGCTTTTTTGGTAATAACGTTGATGTTGGTGTATCAAATAATAATAACAATAATAATAGTAATAGTAATATTGGTAATAATTTCACAACATCATTGGCAGCAAATAACTCAAATAATAACAATATTTTAAGCTCAACATCATCACCATTAATTAAAATTGATCCAAAACATAAAATTTCAGAAAAAAATAGAACCTCATCTAAAATTAGTTTATCAACCATTTTCCCCAAATTACAATTTAACCAACAACAAACACCTACTCTTTCACCATCGAAATATTATTATCCATTATTACAACCATCAGAACTAACAACTTTAATTAGAGGCTACCATGGTGTTGCAGATATCAATAAAAAGGGTTTAAAAAGAGCTAAAAAGAGTATGGAAATGGAAGATGAATATTTATGTTTATCTCCTTTTGGAAATGAAGATCAACAAATGTCATTATTTGCAATTTTCGATGGTCACTCTGGTAAAAATGTTGCAGTCTCTGCAAAACAAATATTCCCATCGGTAAGTTTAAAATAATTATTATTATCATCAGTATTAAATACTAATATTTTATTTAATTTATAGATTTTATTAAAATATATTGATTCAGCCAAAAGAGAGATGGGCGGAAGACCTATTTATGATATGAGAGGAGTATTTTTATCAGCATTTAAAGAGGTCGATGCACAACTATCAAAATATGAATACGAAGGTTCCACTGCAACCATTTGTTTAGTATGGAAAGCTGGACATCAAAGATTTGTACAATCAGCCAATGTTGGTGATTCAACTGCTTTTCTTAGCTATGGAGCCGAAACTTTATTCCTCAGTAAGGATCATCGTTTAACAGACCCAGAAGAGATTACAAGAATTAAAGCTGATGGTATACAATTAACAGAAGGTCAAACTAGAATCAATGGTTTAATGGTTAGCAGAGCATTGGGTGACCATTTTATAAAACATTTAAATTGTGGTTTGATTGGTGAACCATATGTATCCCCTCCAATTTCAATAACACCTTTCCATTCTTACTTAATAGTTGCCTCTGATGGTCTTTGGGATGTAATCTCTGGTCATCGTGCTATGGAAATCATTAAATCTCAACAATCTGAAGAAAAAATGGCAAATAATTTATTACAATGTGCAGTGGGCTCAATCAAATCAAAAGATAATATTTCAATAATTGTTGTAACTTTACAATAAATAAATATATAAACAATAATAAAAATAATAAAAAAACAAATAATAATTTTAATAAAATGTATACAATAGACAACCAAAAGGTGATTTAGATATTGAATAGAGTAAACTATTTTAAAGAACCAATTGATGTAATAAAATAAAAAAATTTTATAATTAATGTTTTCTTTATTTTTCTTTTTCATTTGATTTTTAATAGCAACACTTTTATTTTTTTTTTTTTTTTTTTTTTATTGTTTTTAAAAAATTGTAAAAATATTTATTTTTAACTTTTATTCTTTTATTTATCCATCCTGTTTCTTTCTTATATTATTTTTTTAAAATATTGGGGCATCGAAAAAAAAAAAAAAAAGTTTTACATATAATCTAGTTTTGATCGGAAAAAAACAAGATGAGATAGATCAACACCCAAAATTTTTTATTTTTGAAAAATTTTTTTTTTTTTTTTTAAAATACGAAATCAGTTTCTAAAAATCTTATAATTAGTTAATTAGTTATTAATATTTTTTTTTTTTTTTTTTTTTTGTAATTATAATAATAGTAATAAAAAAAAATAATAAATAGTAATTGTATTAATATAATATTTGTATCATATAAATTTTTTTTTTTTATATATTGTTCAAATTATCTATTTTTTTTTTTAGTCATCTATATACAAACGAAATAATTTAAAAATAGAACAACAAAAAATAAAAATTAAATTAAATTAAATTAAAAAATATTTGTGGGGTTTTTTAAATAAATAATAATAATAATAATAAATCATATTATATTTTTCTTTTCATAACCACATTCAAATATTTGTTTTGAGTGTTTTTTTTTGTTTTGTTAATATTTTGTGTATGTGTTCCAAATATATAAATTATAATAATATTAAAAAAATCACTAGTTTTGTTGAGTTTTTTTTTAAAAAAGTAATATATAATAACAATACAACCAAAACAATATATTCTCACAATTTCAAAAATAATTAAATAAATAATTTTTTAATTTTTTAATTTTTAATTTTTTTTTATATACAATTTTAATAATTTAAACAATTAAATAATATATTATAATAATAAACAAAATAAACTTGGTTTTTTTATAAATAAAGTTAAATAGATATATAAAATAAAATATATATAAATAAATAATAATGACAATTAAAAATAGAATTAAAGATTTAAATAAAAATAAATTAACAAAGTTAGATTTAAGTGCATTAAAAATTACAAGTGTACCAAAAGAATTAACTAAAAGTATATCAGATTCAAAAAATGTAGTATTAAAAATAATAGAACTTGATTTAAGTTTTAATCAAATCAAAACTGCACAGTTTTTAGAAGAATTTGGCACCATTTCAAATGATTTTTCAAGTTTAGAAGTTTTAAATTTAATGGGAAATGTATTGCTAGATTTTAGTATGTCTGTAATAAAGTCACCAGTATCAATTACAAAATGGAATAATATATGCGAATTAAACCTATCTGGTTGTAAAATTACAAAAGTCACCAATCTATCGTTCGTTCATCTTGTAAAATTAAGAAAGCTCTCGTTGGCAAACAACAATATCGAAGTCATTGAAGATCAATCATTTTCATACTTTAAAAATACACTTGAAGAGTTATCATTGGCTGGTAATTCAATCAAGCAAATTCCAACATCATTGGTAGAGTTAAAAAGTTTAGAATTATTGGATTTAAGCGGTTGTCCAATTCAAAATTTACCAGATGGTTTAGGAAATATGATCTCTCTTTTAGAAATGAACCTTGGCAATTGTAAGTTAACAGAACTTCCAAATTCAATTGGTAAATTAAAAAGACTATGTGTTTTAGATATTCAAAATAATCATTTAAATGATTTACCACTCTCAATTGGCTATTGCATTGGTTTGGGTCAAAGTTCATCCGGTATAAATATCTATGGAAATTCATTTTCAAATAATTCCGAATTAAAATCAAGACAATCAAAGGGAGCAGCTTTAATTATGGACTATCTCGAAAAAAGAGTAACACTCCATGTTGGTGTTATTCCATTGGGCAGTAATAATAGCAATAATAATTTACAGCAGCAATCAATAAATGTATCTATCCCAAGTCCACGTCCAAGCCGTCCACCACAATACGATAAAATAAATGAAGATAGACCCCCACAGTACCAAAGTATTGTTTCATCCAGTGGATCAAATGGTAGCGTGTCCATTGAACACGCCATTAATATCCCAGGTCCAAAACCATTAAGAGAAAAGATTAATGACATTCTTCGTAACGATATTAAAATATATATGAAACAGTTCTTTGATGCAATTAGTCAAACCAACAACAATGCACCTCAAATTCAAGCGAACCAATTGATTGCTATTGGAAATATTTTAACACCAGCCCAAAACGAAATGGACCAATTATTTAAAACCTTTTCAATAGATACATCTAAAATGGTTTATAATTCCCCAATGCCCATAAATGGCGAGGATAAAATATTGCAAATTAAAAAAATTATAAACTTGAAATTAGAACACATTGCAGTCCATTCAAGATTTTTACTAGATTATATGGATCAAATATCCCAACCAAATAAACTATCATCCATGGAATATGACAAAAGAATTTCATTAATTAATCACACTCTACAGTCATTTGTTTTGAAATTGGCATTAATAAAAAAGTAAAATGGTATCAATAATATAAATAGATTATTACTTTTATAAAAATAAAATATACACTTTTTTTTTTAAAAATATTATTAAAATTTTTTATAAATTCATTATTTAATTATATATTTTTTAATAAAATTTATCTAAAAATAAATTGTGTGTGGGTGTGGGGTTTAATTATTTTTTATTTTTTTATTTTTTTTTATTTTTTTTTTTTTTTTTTTTTATTTTTTTTTTTATATTTTTTAATATTTATAAAAATACTTTAATTTTAAAATGTTATAAACTTGTAATATTAAATAGTATTTTTATTATATTTTGTTTTTTTTATAAATTATTTAATATTTATTTTTCTTTTATTTAAATTATATTTGTTTTAACTCCACACCCATTTTGTTTTTAATTCATTATGGATATATTTAAACATACAATATTAATAACAGGGGGCGCGGGTTTTATGTAAGTACTAGTATACTCATATTATTGCTTTGTAAACCCTCTACTAACCAATTTAAATATATAGTGGTTCACATTTATCTATATTTTTAACAAAGAAATATAAAAATTATAAAATAATTGTAATTGATAAATTAGATTATTGTTCGAATTTAAACAATTTAAACAGTATTATAAACGAGCCAAATTTTAAATTTTATAAAGTAAATTAAAATCAGTTTAAGAATTGGTTAGATATAGTTTTTCTAACTTTTCTATTATTTAATTAGGGAAATATATTGGATGAAGATTTTTTAAATAACCTTTTTATAAAAGAAAATATAGATACAGTATTTCATTTAGCAGCCTATACACATGTAGATGAGTCATTTAAAAACTCAATAAAGTTTACAGAGAATAATGTTTTAGGTACTCACTATTTATTAGAAGTTTGTAAAAATTACAATATTTCAAAATTTATTTATATTAGTACTGATGAAGTTTATGGAAGCGGATTAATAAATGATGAATATTGTAATAAAAAAGATATTATTATAAATAATGGTGAAAATAATAGTGTTGATTATAATAATGTTAACAATATTAACAATAATAATAATATTAAAAAAAAAAATATAAAAAATAAAGGGTCAATCGAAAATAAAACTATATCGACGACACTTATTGTCATATTATTAGTAACGAAACAATAGAATATACTAACTTTATAATATATCTAAACGATAGACCTTTTAACGTCTACCGATACAACCTTCATTGCTCCAAACTATCAAAATGGCGGTTGGGGGAAAAACATATCTTGGGGAGAAGGGATTAAAATAACCTTTGATTGGTATTTATTAAATCCAAACTATTGGTCCGCTATTAATGATGTTATAAAAAATGAAAATGAAGACATAAATAAACAAATTTAAAATAAATAAATAGATAAATAAATGAATAAAAATAAATTTCATTTTCCTTTTTTTTTTTTTTTTTTTTTTTTTTAATATACATTTCTAAATACAATTTTATTTTTATTTTTTTTATTTTTATTTTTTTCTATATATGTTATATTGTTTTATAGTTTATATTAATGTTTGTTTAATCATCACCTTCTTCTTCAGAATCGTAATCTGAATCATCTTTTTTATCTTCTTCACTATCATCGTCTTCAAATTCTACAACTGGTAAAAGTTCATTTTTAATTTCTTGATTATTGGTAATATCAATAGCTCTTTCTTTATCTACATTTACAATATCGATATTTGCTTTATTTTTAACTAAAAACTTGACTGTATCTAATCTGTTTCTTCCTGCAGCCTATTATAATATTTAAAAATTATAAAATTAGTATTCAAGGATTATTTTTTTTTTTTCTTTAGGAATTACATTATATTATAAAATTTTTAAATAATATTATTTACTTTATGAAGTGGGGTATCACCATGTTTATTTTGAGCATTAATATTTGCACCGGCTTTGATTATAGCTTCTACAACTGCGGTATGACCAGCATTTGATGCATAATGTAAACCTGTATTTCCTAAATGATCGCTACTGTCAATTGAAATTTTCTTACTTGAAACTAATTGAATGATATCATCTAAATATCCACTTTTGCAATTTGAAAACCAAGCATCTTCGAATGAAGTTTCTGCCATCATCTTTAAAAAATATTTATATTTATATTTATATTTGTGATTATATAAAAAAATAAAAAAAATCAAAAAAAAAAATTTATATTAAAAAAGTTTTGATTTTTTTTTTTTTTAAAATTTTTTTTTTAATTTTATTATTTGAATTATAATTAAAAAAAAAAATGGGTTTTTTTTTGCACACCCTTTAAGTTGAGAAAATAAAGGATACAAATTTACACATAATATAATTAATTAAAATATATCAATTATTATTTTTTTACATATTTAAACATAAACAAAATAATATCCATTTTATTGGCCTGATACCATTAAGGTAAAAATAATCACCATTTAGTTTATAAAAATAAAATATAAAAACAAAATAAAAAATTAATAAAATAGTTATTTCATTGCCTTTGTTATGGAAAACTAGTGGAAATTTAAAATTTTTGGATTTATAATTACTTTTTTTTCTTTTTTTTTTTTTTTTTATTTTTTTTTGTTTTTTTTCTTTTTTTTTTATAAAATAATATTAAAAATTTTTTTTTTTTTTTTCTTCTTTATCTTTCGGTATAAAAAAAACAAATGTAATAATAAATCCCAAAAAATTATAGTTTTTTTTACAATAAATATTAAAAAAATAAATATCTAATATTCCACCACAAATATTTTCGTTATTTAAAAAAATATAAAATTTTTTTTATTATTTTTTTTTTAAAATTTTTTTTTTTTTTTTTTTTTTAAATTTTTTTTATTTTCAATCATTTGATTTTTTATTGTATAATATCTCTTCCCTATATTTTAAACAATAATAATTATAAAAAGGAATTAAAAACAATCACAATCATACATGTTTTAAATAAAATCAAACCCTTTATATAATCAAAAAAATAAAAAAAAAAAAAGTAAATTTTCATTTTATAAATTTTGTTTGTTTTTATTTCTTTTGTTTGCTTTGATTATAGATACCCAGTTTTGTTTGTTTGTTTGTTTGTTTGTTTTTGGATAAAATCCTAATTCATATTTAAAAAAACTTTACACAAATTAACTATTATATTATATTTTTAATTTGTTTTCCGTTGGTTTAATAACTCATAGCCCAATTAATCAAATAATAATAATCAAATTATATAATAATTAAAATAATAATAATATAATAATAATTATTATAATTTTAATTGTAATTTTAGAATCCAATTAATTCAGTTTTTAAAACAATCCTCACACCCACACTTTTAATTTTTTAATTTTTTTATTTATTTTTAAAATTTTTTTTTCATTTTATTTTTAATTTTTTCAAATATATACATATTTATGTATATTTATAAAAAATAGTGTTGGTTTTTTTTTTTTTTAGTGTGTATGCATAAAATTTTAAAAGACAATACAATTTCATTTACATATAGTTTAGTTTTTTATATTATCTTTTAAAAGCAATAGCAAAATACTAATTTAATTCTATTCATTAATAATTATTACTTTTAGCATCTACCATATAGTTTTTTTTTTTTTTTTTTTTTTTTATAATTAATTTAAAGGAATAAAACATAAAAATATTAATAATATATAATAATATAATATAGTATTGTTTTTTTTTTTTTTCAGTTCAACTCTGTAGATTTTATTACAGATAATTTTCAAATTTTTATATATAATTATAATAAAAATAACATATAATAGCATTTATAATAATAGTAACAACAATAAAAGAACAACTCTCATATCCAGTACATTAATAACAATTAATTTAGTTTTATTTAAATTTTAATTTTTTTTATTGTAATAAAAAAAAACAACAAAAAAAAAAAAAAAAAAAAGAACCAAAAACATAATATATAAAATATTTACTTTAAATGTAAGTTTAATTTTTTAATTTAATGTAATGATCATTCATTATAATAAAAATTTGTTTAAATGGCTGTTACTGGTTATTTTTTAAATCAAAATTAAAAATGATTTTTTTTCAACGTTTACTAATTTTTTTTTTTTTTTTTTTAAATAGATATAAATTTTTTTAAAAATTAGTAAAAAAAAATATACTTTTAAAAATAATAATCAGTAAAAATACAATTATAATAATAATAATCAATAAAAATTAATAAATAAAATATTTTTATTTATTTATTTTTAAATATATATAAAAATAAATGTCACAGTTTATAACAAATAGTAATCACTTTAATGAAACCAATAATTTAAATTCACAATTATTGAGCGATTTAAATGATGAAAAGAGAACGTTCATGAATCAAGATGAAGAAAACTTTATACAATCACAAAAGAATAAACTAGATTTATCAAAGCAACAAATTTATTCATTAGAGGAGCGTTTAAGCAAAGAAATTCAAATAAAGTTTTCAAATGATTTCAATATGGTATCAATATTAAATTTAAATGACAATCTTTTGGGTGAAGTTCCAGAATCTATTAGACTATTAACACAATTGGAGCAACTTTCATTAAGAGGCAATCATATATTAGAGATACCAAAATGGCTACCAACCGATTTCAAACTCCTTCGTAAATTAGATCTCTCACACAATGTTATTTCTCAAGTACCAGTAACTTTTAATAAATTCAGTACATTAGAAGATCTCAACTTATCAAACAATTATATCTCACACATTCCACCATCATTCTTTCCAGAGAATATTATGACATTAGATCTATCACACAATCTTTTCAAGGAGATTGAGTTACCACCATGGTTCGAAAGTTTATTATCGTTAGACATCTCTGGTAACAAGTTAAAGCATTTAGGTAATCTTCCATATCACTTGGTTAAGGTTTCTATAGATGACAATCATTTAGAGTCCATTGATCATAAGGTTATTATAAGAAATAAAGATTTAGCGCTCAAATTTAATCAGTCCTTTAGTGATATAGTTTTAGAAAGAATTTATCAATGTTGGTACACAGGTGATCCAGTATTGGATCTTTCTGGTTTGGGTATGTGTGTAGTTCCACCTATCCTTGGTGAGCTTACACATTTAACCCATTTGGATTTATCTGGTAATTGTATTTCAGTTTTACCACCAGAATTATCAAAGCTCACAGAATTGGTGCGTTTAGACATCAGTTATAACATCCTTACTACACTTCCATTATATATTGTCAGTTTTAAAAAGTTAGAATCACTCGAGTTACAAGGTACCCTTGACTATTTAGTATCACCACCACGTCGTATCGCAGAAACTGGTAAACTTATTGATATTCAAAGATATTTCCAAGATCTCTTCCAAGGTGATCCAAGCTATCGTGTAAAATTAATGATTGTTGGTCAAGAAAATGTTGGTAAAACAAGTTTGGTAAAATGCTTAAAGATGAAAAAGAAATTTGCCAAAGGTGTTGATCATTTAGGAACCAATGTCTCTACTGATGGTATCGATATTGAAGAGATCAAATTTAATTTAGATGTCGAGGTCCCAAGTCAGTCTGTCCCATCAATGCCCTCTTCAAATTCCACTTCATCACTATCATCACATCCACCACAAATACAACCTACCCTTTCTAGTGCTTCATTAAATTCTTCATTCAGTATTGGCAGTAATATAAATAGTAATAATAATAATAATAACAACAACAATAGTAATGTGCATAGTAGTCACTCAAATGGTACTCATAGTAATTCCAGTAGTGGTAACCCAAATAACTCTTATGTAAATACAAATAGTAACGGTGGAAATGTTAACAGTAATGGTAATACATTAAGTAATGGTGGAACCAGTAATGTAAATAGTAATGGTGCTCCAAGTGCTATGAATACAAGTATTACAAGTAGTACTGGAAGTGGTCTTGGCCCAGTTGGATCAATGGTTAATCAAAAAGTTACAATGTCTATTTGGGATTGTGCAGGTCAAGAGCTTTATTATACAAGTCATCAAATGTTTCTTACAGATTCTGCTTTATATGTCGTCGTATGGAATCTTTGTAAACCTGAAGTTAATAGTAGAGTAGAGTTTTGGTTACACTCAATTCGTTCAAAAGCCGAAAGTGCTCCAATTCTCTTAATCGGTACTCATTTGGATGACTATCTTCAAACTCACAACGAATCTGAATTGGACGATATCTTAAGTAATATTTATAACAAATATTTTAGAAAATTCAAATTAAAAGGTATTTGTGTAGTAAGTTGCTCAACTGGTCATGGTTTTGATCAATTCCTCGATCTCTTAAAGAAAACTGTTGTAGATCTACCATCATTAAAACAATCATTACCAGAATTATACTTAAAATTAGAAAAATTAATTATTAAAAAAAGAACAACTATGGCGCCACCAATTTTAACTTGGCAAAAGTAAGTTTATTTTTTTCTTCAAAAAATTATGTAATAATAATACTAATATTATTTTTTTTTTATTAGTTATTCACAAATGGTTTTATCAAATTTAGATTTCCATGATGAGGTTCATGTTAAGGTTGCAACTAAATCTTTAGTACCTTTAGGTTCAATTTCATTTTTTGATGAGCCAGGTTTAGATCAATATGTATTTTTAGATCCACAATGGTTAACTGGTGTTTTCTCATCCATCATTACAACTAAACATAAATTTATCAAAGATGGTGTACTTAGAAAGAGTGATCTTTATCAAATTTGGAAGCCACCTCATTTTATTGAAGATGAAAACCTTCATTCCCTTTTAATTTCATTATTAGAAAGATTTGAATTGATGTTCCCTCTTGATAATATCGATTCAAGTACTCCATCATTAAATGCGTCACAAGTAGGTAACAGTTATTCAACAGGCTCTCAAAATGGTGGCAGTAATAAATCATCCCCATTCAAACCACCAACTTCACCTCAAACCTTAAGACTTGGCAGCGATAAAAGAAATAGTGGTTCATCATCTGCTACAATCCTTCAATCAGCTGCTTCATCAAATAATAAAAAGAGAAATCAAACTATTACAGGTTCACCATCAGGCAGATCAAGATCAAATTCAGATATCGAAAATTCAATGTTACCAGCCATGTCACCAAACTCACTTAGTCAATCTGGTGGCATTAATGCTGATGGTAGTAATACATCTGGTGATATCAATCAAATTGGTAGTCCAAGTAAAATGGGTTCAAATACTTTAACAACAAATATTTTTAATGAATTTAACCAAAGATTCATTATTCCATCACAATTACCAGATACTCGTCCTGCATTTGGTTTATTATGGCCATCAACTGATAACTCTCGTATTGAATATAATCGTTGGATTCAATTATCATTTGCACCAGCAGGTCTCTTCAGTAGATTATTAATTCGTCTTTTAACAAGTAAAGAGTTTGAAATGAAACCAATTCTTTATTGGAGAAATGGTGTTGTTGTTGATGCTCAAAGTGGTCGTGGTTTCTTGGCTACATCAACAGCTCTTATCGAAATGTGTCCAAGTTATAGTAATTGTAGTTCAACAATTAAAATTAGCGTTAGAGGAGATCGTAGAAGTGGTAAATCTTTAGCAGCAAAATTACTTCGTTTAATTGTCGAAATTACTGATACTCTTTGCACTAGTTGGTATCATTTAGAAACTAATCAAGTTATTCCATGTCCACATTGTTCAAATAAATCAAATTGCACATTATTCAGTTTAACCGAATGTGAAAGTGTTGCAAGTAGTGGTGTTTGGTATTTAGTTTGTGGTGATAGAAAGATTGGTTTTGAAAGTTTTGTACCAGATGTTGCTATGAGCGATTTCTGGGGTTCAGGTAGCAAGAAGTTTAATTATAATGAAATTAAAATTCACAAAGAAAAACAAATTCTCATGATCAAATCAAATGTTTATGGTGAAATTCAATTCGATATCAAATTACCAATTATAAATGGTGCAGATAATAACAATAATAATGGCGAAAATAGTCAACCAACTTCACCAAGAAAAGAAAATGATTTACCATTTATTAATCAATTAGTTTCTCTAGAATCAACTGCTTCATCTAAAGAAATTATACCAATCAAAATTGAATTCGACTCAAATAATCAAACACTTATTGTTTCAGGTTCTTATAAAAAACAAATTGGAAATAACAAGCAAGATCAATTCATAATCGGTGAGGTTGAATTTGATTCACCAAAACTTATTGGTCGTGGTGCCTCTGGTAAAATTTATCGTGCCAATTTAGGTGATACAATGGTTGCAGTCAAACAGTTAGAGGTCGTAGGTGAAGATGCCCCAAGAATTTTTAGCGATTTTAGAAGAGAAATTCACGTAATGAGTGATTTAAAGCATCCAAATGTTGTCAATCTTTTAGGTTTCACTCTAAATCCATTTACTATGGTTATGGAATATATAGATTGTGGTGATCTCCATAAATTCCTTCATTCTCAAATCGGTGATATCTTAAATGGAAATTGGGCTTTAATTTTGAAATTAGCTCTCGATATTGCCAAAGGTATGGATTTCCTTCACTCTGTTACTCCACCACTTTTACATAGAGATCTTAAATCACCAAATGTACTATTAAGTATGAAGAATGGTGTTTATCATGCTAAAGTTGGTGATTTTGGTCTTTCATCTCGTATGTTTATTCAAGCACTCAAACACAAACTTAGAAATTTCCCAGTTGGAAATATTACATGGGTCGCACCAGAAATTCTCCGTGAGGAAGAATACACAGTCAAGTCTGATGTATATGCATTTGGTTTAATTTTACACGAATTGATGACTAGAAAACATCCATACCGTGAGTTTAATTATCAAATGGTTTCACTTCAGGAAGAAGCTATTAAGAGTGGATTAAGACCAACCATTGCTCCACAATACACCCAAACTGTTACAGGTCATGAATATTGCGCTTTAATTCGTGATTGTTGGGATTCAGATATCGATAGAAGACCAACATTTAACAAGATTGTCAAACGTATCAAGCAAATTATTGGTAGAGATGTCAATAATATTTTAGAGGGTACTGATATTGGATCATCCCCAAGTATAGATCCAGTTTCACAAAGTAAAAATCTTGACGATTCAAATAATCCACACATTAGTCATATGAATCTTGGTGATGCTCCATCCGATGAAAATTTAGGTGGTCAACTTCAATTAAGTATGCGTACACAACCAGAAGCTAAAGTTAATCAATTGGTTTGGGAATTGGGATCGCGTAGAGTATGGGGTGGTTGTGAAGGTGGTGAAATTCTTGTTTGGAATGCTGAAAATGGTAATCAAATCTTTAGAGAACAAAAGCTTCATCCAGGTCCAATTCGTGCAATGGCTCTTGTTAACCAAGAGGATATTTGGTCAACAGGTGCAACAGGTTCACATTGTTCAATTAGAGTTTGGAATGCTTGGCGTTTCAATTTGGATGACCAACAAGGAACTAAATCAGACTATATTACAAAAAAAGGTAGAGGCGGTTCAACCTTTGGTAGAAAATCATGGAGAGTAAGATGGTTTGTTCTAAGTAGATTCGATAAATCCCTCAAATATTATGCAAAACAAAATGATAAAGATCCAAATTGTACATTATTATTAGAAGGTGCTTGGCTTGAAGAACAAAATGCTGGTTTTAGAGTATCGCTCCATCTCAGTATCCCAGAAAAGAGAACCATGGAATTAGAGTTTAAGACTGAATCAGAAAAATCATCTTGGATGATTGCTATTAATCGTGTCATTAATCAAAATATTCCACTTCACGAAATCACTTTAGGTAAATTTGTAAAATCAGAAAATGATTATGTAACCTCTATTTTAGTGATCAATCAAAATGTTTGGGTAGGCTTCAAAGAATCTAATCATATCGTTGTATTCAATTCAAAAACAAAAGATTTAGTTCAAAAGATTCAAATGGACGATCAATGGAAAGGAACTGATCAAATGATTCTTCATCAAAGCTTTGTTTGGGTAGCTGGCCGTAATAATTTAGCTCAAATTGATTCTTCATCCTATCAAATTTTACATGTTCACAATCATTACACTCAACCAATTCTTTCGATGGCTTCTGTTGAAAATAATGTTTGGGTTTCAGCTGAAGATACTTCTCTTTCAATTTGGGATGGTGAAAATGGATCATTCATTAAAAAAGTTGAAAATACTACAAATTCTAAATTTACAAAGATTTTATTCTTTAGCGGTTATCTTTGGGCTTGTTCTCAAGGTTCAATTCAAATTTATTGTATTCATAACCATGTTTCGAAAAAGAAAGTTGAAACTAAAAATCATCCAAATAGTATTATAGATTTAATTAAAGTTTTCCAACAAACTGTTTGGTCATGTTGTGGTAGTCATAACATTTGTATTTTCTCTTAATAATAATAAAATAATAAATAGTAGATAATAAATAATAAATAAATAAATAAATAATAAATATATAATAAATAAAAAAATAAAAATATAACAAATAAATAATAGAATATATAGAATTCAATGTAATATTAATAAAAAAATTTTAATTTTAATTTTAATTATAATTTATTTTTTAATGTATTTCTTTATTTTTCATTATTGAATATTTGTTTTATTTTGCATATTTTTTTGGCACGAAGTTTTTGTTCCGAATTTTCAAAAATGAAGTACCCCAAGTAGGAGTTCAAACAAATAGATAAAAATATTATGAGTAATGAAATATTTTACTAAATAACAAAAATGAAACTCCTAGGATTTTTGATATGAGTTTGAGCTTTTTATACTGATTATAACTTCGATTGAGATTATTTCAATACTCATAATTCGAGTAACTAATTCTTTGATGAATGTTTATGTGGCATATTGGGTCAGAAATGATTGGGTCATTATAGAGAACAGTATAAAAGGGGTTGGCCATTTTTGTATTAATTTTATTATCGAAATGTTATGTCTTAAAGAAAGTGGGGTAATACAAGGACATAGGTCGTGTTAGCTTTTTTTTTTGCTTTTTAAAAATATATTGGAGTGTTTATTCCATTTTATAATTTTATTAATTATAAGATCTAAATATCTGAATTGACCAGATATTACTTGAAGCAAAATGATTCATTCGAAAACGAATGCTCACATTTATTAAATATTACCACAACTTTATTTTTCTTTTTTTTATTTTTCGTTTTTCTTTTTTCTTTTTTTTTTTTAATATTAAATTAATATATCATTTTATTCTAAAGAAAAGATAAATGTGTTAGTTCATTTATGGGCACGGGAGGAGGGCTTTTTTCTGTTTCAAATAAAAAAGTCGGGTTAGCTTTTTTTTTTTTTTTTTTACTTTTTCACAAAAAATGATAAAAACTTTTATAAAATTTTAAAAAAAATCCCCAAAAAGAAAAAAAAACCAAAGTTTTTATCCCTGTCGGGTTAGCTCAGTTGGTACGAGCGTAGGTCTCATAATCCTAAGGTCGTGAGTTCGATCCTCACACTCGACAGTATATAAGTTGATCTATCTTCCGTGTGATTAATAAGTTTTTGTATATAGAGCTACTTTAGTTGGGGAGCAATGATAGCCAAGTAGTCCAACGAATTTGATATGGTTCATATCTACTCTTGTAATGTATTCATATGCATTTTAGAATTAAATGAATATTACAGTTATAATTATATCTCAACTAAATAATATATTTATATTTTCCTTTATTTTAAATAATTTATTATTTAAAATTAAAAAATAAAAATAAAAAAATTGAAAAATTTAAAAAATAAAATTTTATTTTTTAGTTTTCAGTTTTCGGTTTTAGTTTTCACAAACAAACAATTGTATATTTATTTGATTATTAGAATTATTTATATTTATTATTTATCTATAACTAAAGTAGCTCCATCTACATTACACTCTATTTGTTTCACCTTTTTGCATGGTTTCTATTATCAATTCGATTAAATATAGTATCGCTGTATCTTTCTCAATCTTAAAACTATATTTATCTCTTTTATCTAAAATTTCTTTATTTTCACTATTGATAATATTAAAAGATGCTAAAACTTTTGATTCATACTTTGGTAGTTGCTGACTGTTGTTATTGTCATTGTTGGTTTCTATTGAGTTTGTTAAAATTTCTTTAATATTGAACCATCTTTTTCTGTAGAGATATCACAGTTATTATTAAATGAGATTAATTCTATTTCGTAAATACAGGTTGCATTAGGGGGTACTAAGTCACCATTGCCGACGCTGCCATATGCATATTTTGCTCTAATTGTCAATGTTGAGATTTCACCTTTTTTCATCGATTTAATTGCATAGTTGAATCCTTTGATTGGTTCTTCGGGACTACCTAAAATAAATGAAAAACTTGATTTCTCTCTAATATTTTCAAATATTGTTCCATCAATGGTCTTGCCAATAAAATGAATATAGACTTGATCACCATCGAATGGAAAGTTTGTTCTGTTACCACTCGTTTTTATAATTTTACTGATACCATTATCTGTTGTTAGTTTTATAGTTTTATTAATTTCATTTTCTATTCTATTTTTTTCTTCATTATTAAATATTTGTTGTTGTTGTTGTTGTTGTTGTTGTTTTCGATTTTCTGTATAACATTAATACTTTTTATTTTTAAAAAAAAAAAAAAAAAAAAAAAAATATTTTAAAATAAAATAATTTAAAAAAAAAAAAAAAAATTAATTTTTATAAAAAAAGTTTTTATTTTATAAAATCAATTAAACAATGAAATCAGGTTACAATAATTCAGGGATTTTAAGATTTTTTGAAGCCAAATTAGAAAAGAAACATTATTTAGCAGGTGGTTGCGAAATATCATTAATGGTCACAATCGAAAATATGAAGAAGAATAATTTTTAAAAAGTTTTTTTTTTATTTTTTTATATTTATTTTTTTTTGGAAACCTATAAAATGATTGTAATAAAATCCGTTGGGCAACAGATTATAATACCAGATTCTTTATCGAAAAAGATTAAAATTTTATAAAATAAGATATAATACACAAAAATATAATAAAGAAATAAGTTATTTACAAAAATTAATAAAATCAAAAGCAAGAAAAGATATATGAAAAGGAGGAACAAGAAGAGGAGCAAAATAAACTAGAAGAAGAGCAAAAGGAGGAAAAAGAAGATAAAGAAGAGGAAAATGAAAATAATTTATTAGAACAACAAACAAACCAACCAAAACACCCAGAGCAGCAATTTGGCCAAAAAAAAATTAAAAAAATTAAACGATAGCACTAAATGGGTTCAATGGCTCTGTGCAATGATAGATGCCCATGGTACTTTAGCAATTAATGAAGAAGGAAGAGTTAAGTTAAATATTTCACAACAAAATGCAGACCATAAAAGCTTCATTGAAATGAAGACAAAATTAACTGGTAAAATTAAAATCGACGAAAAAACAAATACTATTAGCTTTTTATTAAAGGATGTCAACAGTGGTATTATTAGAGTTATGAATATTGGTAATTTTGGAAACCCAGAAAAGCAAAAACAATTTAGTGAAGTTTGTAAAATATATAATATCAAATATAGAGAACAGGAGAAAATATCCCCAACCGATGGCTGGGTAGTTGGAATGTACGAAGCTTTATGCCATGCCCATATAAATATGAGAGAACTCTCTTTGACTTTAACATTTGAACATGACAACTATGAAATATGAAGAGATTATCAAAAGCATTAAAAGGTAGATTGTCCCAAAATGAAATAACAGGTAAATATAAAGTAGTTTTTAAAGGCCTTTAAAAAAACTGTGCCTGAAATTGAAAGATTTTTACTTTACTTTAAAAGAAAATCGACCAAACTCAAGAAATCATATAAAGTGACAATAGATCCACCAATCGAGCCACCAAAACTAAACCAGCAGAGAATCAGATTTTTATAATAAGCAATATCAGATGAAAAATTAAATATTTGGAAACATTTTATTAAATAATATGATAGAATAACAAAGGAAGAAAGAGTAAATTCAAGAAAATACAGATTCCAAAATAAAATAAAATAATTAAGGAAAATGAAGATGACGAAGATTATGAAGATTATGAAGATTATGAAGACAATGAAGACATTGAAGATTATGAGGATAGCAAACAAAGATAATAGTGTTAAAAATGTTAATATTTAAAAAAACCAATAAAACTAAATATAGATACTGTGGTATATTTATAATATAACACATCAATAACATTGGTTAATTTAATACTAAATTAAAAAAATAATTAAAATGAATATAATATAAAAAAATAAAAAAATAATTTTATATTTTTAAAAAACTAAACCTTATTATATTTTTATATGATTTATTTGATTTATTTGATATTTAATTTATTTATTTTTTATTATAAAGAACTTTAGATTTTTAATTTCTTTCATTGAAACCCTGCATCAATTGACTTCTGGCATAAATATTCTTAATTAATGAATAAAAAAAAAATTGAACCTTTGCATTTTTACTTTTGTGATTTTATTTATTTTTTTAAAGAATTAAATACATCATTATAATTGAGTTGTTATTAGAAAAATTAAAAATAAAAAATAAAAATTATAATTGTATACAATTTAATTTATTGAAAATAATTATAATTAATTCATCCCATTTTATAAATATAATTTGACTTAAATTTATAATAACTTAAATTTATTTAATATTATACTATATTAACATTATAATCATTTAAATTCATATGATTTTGACCTAAATTTAATTTTTTTTTTTTATTTTAATTTATTAAATTTTTTTTATAGTAATTGCTTGATTAGTTATATATTTTTTTTTTTTATTTATTTTTATTTAAAGTAGACGTGTTGTCTTTTTTAATAATTAATTACAATAATGATCTATTGGAAGAAATTAAAAAAATAAATTTGGTTTTGTTTAAAACACTGTTTTTAAAAATTAAAAATTAAAAACACTGTTCTTAAAAATTAAAAATTAAAATTTTAATTTTTTAATTTTTTTTTTAATTTTTAATTGATTTTCATAGCTTATTTCAAAACTAATATTAATTATCTTTTATTTTTTTTTAATAAATTATAATTTTTTAATTTTTTTTTTTTTTTTAATAAATTTTTTTTTTCTCTTCACTCACACTCATTGCATTTTATATATATACAAATCAACATTTATTTATTTTATTCCTCTTCACACATCCTATACACACATCTTTATATATATTTTATATTCATATTTTATATATTTACATTTGGTAATTATTTTTTTATTTTTTTTTTATTAAATATTATATTCTTATTTTTTTTTGTAAATAAATCTAATTTTTTTATTTGTATATTTTTTTCTTAAAAAAAAAAAAAAAAAAAAAAAGTTAAAATGGCAGAACCACAAGCATCTCCAAAATCACAATCAACACCATACCCAAGTAACTTTGCCCCCGCATACCGTTATAAATCAAATCCACCACCACAACCAAAACCAGCACCAATACTAAAACCAATTCCAATTTCACCAACAATACCAAACTCGCCATACCCATACAATTTTGTTCCATCATACAGATATCAAAAAGTTTCAACATCTACACCATTATCAACAACAACCAAATCAGAAACCAGTTCATCTTCAAGTTTTAACTTATCTGGTAATCCAACAGATAAAAAAGAATCAACAACAAATATTTTTGGCGGAAAAACCTCACCTTGTTTGGAAACAACCCTATTAACCACCACTACACCATCACCATTTGGGGCACCATCAACCACGAATACACCAAAACAAGGACCAGAATCATCATCAAAACCAGATCCTTTTGGCGCACCAAAAGCCACTACACCAAGACCAGAACTATCAGAACCATCACCAGAACTAGGACCAGAACCATCACCATTTGGCGCACCATCTGTAAATTTAGTTGGTAATTCGACAAGTACCAGTTTTTCAACAACCTCATCCTCAAATTTATTTTCCAATCCTTTTACAGAACCACTCTCGGGAACATTCACAGCAGTATCATCACCATTTGGTGCTACAACAACCTCGATTGCCTCATCATTCAATATCCCAACAAATTCCTCAAGTTTGGCAACATCCCCATTAACAACTGCATCAATATTTAATGCACCATCAAAAGCCGCTTCTACACCAAGATCGACACTATTCTCAATAACATTGACCGGTACAAGCTCCCCATCACCTTTTGGCGCACCATCAACTTCAACTACACCATCACCATCACCATTTGGGGCACCAAAAACCACCACTACACCATCACCAGGACCAGAATCATCACCATTTGGCGCACCAAAAACCACCACTACACCATCACCAGGACCAGAATCATCACCATTTGGTGCACCATCTGTAAATTTAGTTGGTAATTCGACAAGTACCAGTTTTTCAACAACCTCATCCTCAAATTTATTTTCCAATCCTTATACAGCACTCTCGGGAACATTCACAGCATTTTCATCACCATTTGGTGATCCAACAACAACCTCGATTGCCTCATCATTCAAAATCCCAACAAATTCCTCAAGTTTGGCAACATCACCATCAGCAACTGCATCAATATTTAATGCACCATCAAAAGCCGCTTCTACACCAAGATCGACACTATTCTCAATACCATTGACCGGTACAAGCTCCCCATCGCCATTTGGCGCACCATCAACTTCAACTTCACCATCACCATATGGGGCACCATCGACAACTATAAAATCTCCATTTGGCGCACCATCGACAACTATAAAATCACCAATTGGCGCACCATCAACCTCAACTACACCATCACCAGGACCAGAATCATCATCATTTGGCGCACCATCGACTACTACAAAATCACCATTTGGCGCACCATCAACTTCAACTACACCATCACCATTTGGTGCACCATCTACAACTACAAAATCACCATTTGGTGCACCATCAACCACAGCTACACCAGAACCAGGACCAAAATCATCACCATTTGGCGCACCATCAACTAAAAATGATATTAATAATGATCAGCTTATTAACCAAATTAATCAATTAAAAGAACAAAAAAAAGAATTAATGGATCAGTTAAAAATATTAAAAGAACAGCATCAACAATCTAAAAACGAAGATCAAATCAATCAACTAAAACATGAAAACAATCTATTAAAAGATCAATTAAAATCATTAAAACAACAAGATAGAGATAAAGAGGAACTATTAAATCAAATTGAAAAAATATTAAATCAAGATAATAAAGATTATTAGATCAACTGGACTCTCTTAAAAATAATAATCAAAATTAACAACACGACAATGCTGAATATGAAAATCAAATTAACCAATTAAAAGAAGAATTAGAATCACCAAAGGAAAAAAAAACTGAAGAAACTAACCAATTAAAAGAAGAAAATAATCGTCTAAAAGAAGATTTAGGATCATTACAAAAAAATCATGAACAACAAAAATCTCTTCACAATGGTGCTCAGGAACAAATTAAACAATTAAATCAACAAATTCAACAATTAAATCAGCAGTTAGAATCATTAAAAATAGATCAAAATTATATTAATAATGAACAAAATAATGAAATCGACCAATATAACACCAGAATCTCCATTTTGCGCTCCATCAACTTCAGCTAGAACACCATATCCATTTGGCGCACCATCGACAACAACAAAATCACCATCAACTTCAACTACACAATATCCATTTGGCGCACCATCAATTACAAATCCAACTCAAACTCTAAACCCCACCCAAACTCCGTTTCCTACCCCACAACCAACATAGCAATCAACTTCTGGCATAGCCTCATCCACTTATCCAAAATTATTTGCACCAGAATCCAGATACCATTTTACAGGTGCCCCATCTAAAGGGGGAAATTTTGGAAAACCATCAATTAAAATATTTAATGAAAAACTTGGGAGCATGGGTAGATTGTCCCCCAAAACCACCAATAACACTACTTTCTTTTTTAGGCAATTTTATTTTTTTACATATTTTAGAATTATGGAAAAAAATTAAAAAATATGTCAAAAAAAAGAAAATTAAAAAAAGAAAAAAAAAATAATAATATAAAACTTAGAACCAAACATCATATATATATTGTAATCATAATAGTCATAATAACCATTGTTCAAATAAATGATACCTGTATCAAAAGACTATCTAATATATAGTGTTCAGGTATCAAATAATGTTGATCCCAAAATTATTAGAGAAATATGACTCATTTATCAATAGCTTTTATAGATAAAAAAATTAAAACTATGTTCATCAAATTAAAAACAAATTAAAACAATTATGGTGTGACATAGATCAACTTGATGCAGGAATACCTCTAAATTATATTTATTAAAGTTCCGAACCGTACAACTGTACCGGTTTTCAAAAAAAAATGTTATTCGAAAAAAGGATCGAATATTAAATTTAAAAACCGTAATTAGGAATATTCCAGAATATTCTTCAAATAAATTTTTTTATTTACAACTAAATAAAAAAGTCTTAAAATCTATTCAAAATAATATTATAATAAAGTTTTTTAATGTTAAAATTTGTTGCCTCCAAATTATTTTTTTTATATTTAATTTTTTTTTTTTTTCATTTTATTATCAATATCATCTAATTAAAATACATTCACAAATACCCCACTCACATTAACCCACAATAAATTTAATAACAGTAATTTAAAAAATATAGAAAAAAAAAAAAAAAAAAAAAAAAAAAATTTATAAAGACAATTATTTTTAAATTATTATTTTTTTAATAAGATAGATTTGTATTGAAAAGTTTTTTAAAATATTTTAATCGATTTAAAAATCCATTCTGTATTATTTCTTTTGACTGGGGGAATCTGTGCTAAAATCTATTTTATAACATTTCCCATAACTGCAGTTCTCTAACTATTTGAATTATTATGTAAAAAAATATGATGGTGATTCTGTTGAAGGATTGTACTGGTGGTGGTTGTGGTGGTGGTGAATTGTGAGCTTTTTTATTTGAAAATCTTGAATGAACCCTTTTCTAAAATAGTTGGAATTGAAATACCCATGAGGTGCTGGTGGTGAATTGATTGTGAGCTTTTAAATGTAAAAACGTGATTTTAAACGAGAACATGTTGCAACTGAAAATAATGAAAATAAATATTTAAATTAAAATATTAGTTTCTTTTATATTCAAGGATAATAATAATAATCTTTATAGTTACCTAAATAATTTTTCTTTTATAAAATAGATACTGGAACATTTAGAATATTTTTTAAATTTTGGGTTTTTTCTGTTGTGCATAATTAATGACCAGGTTTTTTTAAAGAGATATGATTATTTCATTGATAACACTTGTTAACTATTTACAACTTTATTGAAATCATAATTGAAACTTTGAATGAAATGATATAGTTAATAATTATTTAGTCTTCATAAATGAAGATATTAAACATTTTGAAAATATAAAATCTTAACGTTAGTAATTAGCGCAAAATATCATAAAACCAAAACAAACTTATATAGAAAAGAGAAACAGACACATTATTTTATTTAGTAAATCTGGTCATTTAGATCCTTTACCTTTTTGTATATATTTTAGCTAATTAAATAATATCGACTCAATCAAACAACTAAAAACAAACAGTTTTAGAAGTAAATAATGATTTACATAATTAAAAAAATTAAATAAAATAAATAAAAAAAAAATAAAAATATTAAAAAGAAAAATAGATGAATATTTTTTAGCGATTTTTTTTATTTAATATTTATATAAGATAAAGATTTTAAGAAATCCTTTCGACTGCCTTTAAAATGACCTTGGTGTTTTTCTTTCTTTTTTCTTAGGTTATATGACCTTCAATTTTGGAAATGGTTGATTTTGATCTATTTCAGTATTCTTAGTACAATTATTTCTTGATGATGATTGATTGTTCAATATCTGCAATTTTATTTTCAGGTTTGAAGTCTTCCAATAAGCTATCAATTCTCTTTTTTAATTTCTTTTTATTTAAAAACTTAATTAAGTTTTCTAAAAACAAATTAAATAAAAACAATATTGATGAATAAATAAATAAAAAATTATAATAAAAAATAAACTTACACTAACTCTTTTAAATTTGTTTGTTTAAAAAGGAGATAAGTATTATTAATTTAATAATTTTGTAAATATTTTAATTAAAAAATTTATTTTAAATTTTAATTTTTTATAAAAATGAAATAATTTTTTTTAAAAAAAGAGATAACTTTTAAAATTTTTTTTTAAATGAATAAGCTAACGATAATGGGTAAAAACTGAGAATAAGGATAATTTTTATTCACTATAAAAAATATAATTAATCAATAATATAGAAATATAATAAAACATGGACTTCATTGCTTAATTTTTATATTAGTGCGGATCTTCAAAAATTTATTTTGATTTTTCTTTTTTTAAAATTTCTTAAGTTCATATAAAAACTGGGTGGCCATAACCCCCATTTTTTATTATAATCATTTTGATTTCTTTTTTTGGTAAATTTCATTTTTTTTTAATTTTTTTAAATTTTAATATTTTAATATTTTAATATATTTTTTTTTTTTTTTAATTTTCATTTTCAAATTTTTATTGCAATATAAAACAAATTTTTATTTTTTTTTTATTTTTTTTTTTTTTCTTTATTATTTTTTCAATATACAAATAATTACATACATTTATTTTTTATTATAGTATTCTATTCAAAAATAATATTTAATATCAATAATAATATTCAACACTAAATCAAATAAATCACCATTCACATCCAATAAACAACCATTCATATCAACCACTCAATAGTCTAATTCAATAATGGATTTTGTTTTTATCTTAATTCTTGCAGCCATTAGTTTTTTAATTGGTTTTATTTATTATTCTTTAATAAAATTAGAACAATTAAAAAAACAACAAAAAGATAAAAAAGAATTAGAAAAAGATCAATTATTAATGATTTCCAATTTAAAACATCAAATTATGAAATGTGAATTAGAAAAAAAAATCCACCATAATCAACTATCTATTCAATCAAAAAATTAAATTAATAAAAGTGAGCATGATAAATTAATTAAAGTTAGAGATGACCAATCAGATGAAATTTATCTATTACGTAGTTTAATAAACCAACAAAAACAATCACTTCAATCCCATGGTGTTAATCAAGGTAAATTGGTCAAAGAAAAAGACTCACTCAATATTAAATTGGAACATCAAATTAGAAATTCAAATAAAATCCAAGAGCAAATATTAGAGAAGAATAAAATTATCCAATTTCTTGAAAAAAAGATTGAAACAGAACAACAAGTTTTAATCCAGCTTTCAATTGAACATAATGAAGCATTGGAGAAATTGAATTTAAAAGAAGGTGAATTAGAAAAAAACAATATAAACAATGGAGAACAAGATCCATTCGATAGAGAACCATTAGATATGGATCAAAAAAGCGAAATTTCAAGTATTGGAGAGTTTAGCGAAATTTCCAATTTTAAAGATGATTACGAACATTTAGATATTGAAGAGAATAAAGAATGTACAATTTGCTATTCCAAAATGAAGACCATGAATGTCTCCTATATAGGTTGTGATCATAAATTCTGTTTCGATTGCATACTAACATGGTCCCAATATTGCAACACTTGCCCAGAATGCAAGGATAGATTTATTACAATCACTGTAAGTTATTAAAACATTCATTTTTGTACATGAAAAATTAAACTTATACTAGAATTACATTATTTTTTGTATGAAAAAAATTTAAAATTCTTGTACAATTTTATTTAATCATACTATTTTTGAAATATTTGAATAATTATAAATGACAGAGTTTTCGACAATATCTACTCTTGAAATGTTTGCCCATTCCCTTATTAACACACATTGTTCTATTCTTTCCCAACCCAAATTTGATCTGTTGTCGGTAACCAACAACTTAGCACCCGAAAATGTTCTTTCAATTTCAACGGACAAAGAAGCAACTGAAGGTACATTTCTTACAATTGAATATTATGTTGGATATTCAATACTATTTTCTTTCTAATATTTTATTGTATCATTTCTATGATCTAAACTTTCTTCTACACATAGTCAAGCTGTTTTGGGTTTTTTGAAATTACTTTTAGTGCATGGGACTAAAGCAACGGAGGTTTCGTTAGCACATTGATTAATGTTGCGATCTTGACCACAATTGAAACAAACTTTATTCTTCATTCGGAATGCAATCATGCCATTCTTCATTTCTTTTATTATTTCTTTTTAAAAGTTACTTTTGTTACTATTTAATAGGAGTTGTAAGTATTTTTGGATTTATTTATACTTTGAAATATATGTATTTGTTTCTTTTTTTCTTCAATAAGCATTTGAATTAAAGGTTCATCATAGTTTCTCTATACCCTCTCTTTGGAGAAGTGATAATCTAGAGTATTTATTGTATCATTTGAAAGATTGTTTTTTTCTCTATATTTTTTTACTGCTAAACATTTACTATCTATTAAAAATAAGATATTAGTATATAATTTTTTAATCAATAAATTAAATAATAATATGTATACTTTACCATTTATAAAATGATATCTAATGCAATAGGGATGTTGATAGCTTTTTGTCTAGATCTTAAATTGAATTTCTTCTGGTAATAGGTCTTTTATTTGTTCCTTCCATTGATATTTAGTTATTAATATTAAAATATATTTATTTTTTATAATTTTAAATTTATTAATTTATATATATATTAATTATATATTAATTTATTTTTTATTTTTTTAAAATATAATAATTTTTGATATTTTTATATATATTAATAAATTTTGATATTGATATATAAATAAAAATTTTGAAGTATTTATAGAAAAAAAAATTATATTAAATTTATTTATTTTTAATTTTAAATATTGCGCTTAATTATATAACTGCTTTATTGTAATAAAATATATTTAAAAATCCTCTTAACATATTTATGTATATTAATAAAAAAAAAAAAAAATTTAAAAAAAAATTTAAAAAAAAATTTAAAAAAAAAAAAAAAAGGGGGAAACAACCACACATTACTATATATATTAATTGATTATGATTTAACTGTTTTTTTATTGATTTTTAAACACCTTTTAAATTA